AGGCCAGCCTAGAAGGTCGGGCTTCAGTATTCTCAGGGTTGTAGCTGAAGCCTTGGGTCTGGGGCCTTGGGGTTTATCATGTTAGCCCTCGGGCTGACAATGTGGATGTCAATGTACGGTTCGTAGCTTCTGCTGCTGAGGGTGTTTGGGCTTGGGATTGGAGTGTTGAGCTGCCAGATTGTGGGTTATTTGCTTGTTTTTGCCAGTTTGGTTGAGCTTTACCCCAAGGCTCCCGTGTAGTGCCTTTCAAGGGTGGGATAATATGAGCTTTCACCCAACAAATGCAAAAGGTAGTACGAACCCTGAAAGGAACTACATTGGAGCCTTTGGGTAGATCCAACATAAAGGCCCTCTGTCTCTATAGTCAAGTCAAACTCTTTTCGTTTGGGTGAGGCCCTCCAAACCCCAAACCCTACCTTCCCCCAAACCGACATGGAACCCTGATAACTGATGAGGGCTCTACATGCATTACTGTCTCTTAGAATTAAGGGTCACGGGGTTCCATGTTGGTTCGGGGGAGCGTGATCCCCACAACCCCACTACAACGCCACGGCTTCAGAAAGCTGGCATGCTGAAGCTTGATTTAGGACTACATCATGCCTCTCCAAAGCTTGGAGGGTGCATACTCATAACCCTAAACCTTGAAAACTACAGACCTCAAACCATAAGTCTATCGATCCTCCAAGCCAAAGTCGTTGTGAAGCCCCACGAAGCCGGACAAGCCCTGTGAAGTGCCCTAAACCCTCGTTTGCGACCTGTGAAACCTTAGGCACTTGAGTCTAGCATCGCGCGTCCGAGGCATTGGGTCATCACATTCAGATGGAGCCCAAACACCCAAATCTGAAAACCGCTGTTTCCAAAACCACCAGTTTGAAGGTAGAGATCCCAAACTACAGGAAAGGCTGAGTTGCTTGAGAACTTTTTTTATAGGCAGCTGGTAAGGGCCCCAATTCATCCCTATAATGCTCCAGGTTTCAATCGGCTGGCCTCACTTGACTTTCTTAGAAAGACTGAGAAGGTGCCGCCGGATGTGTATTATGGGTCAGTTACAATAAAGGGCTTCCGGGCTTACATTCCAGCACAAAAGACTGGAAGGACATCCAGCCTTTCTTGGGATCGCCAAACTTGTTAAATCACATGAAGGCAGGAGTTTAGGGTTCTGGGTTTGGAGTTCAAGGTTCGCGATTCTGGGTTTAGGCCAACACCCCCTAGGCCCTAGGCAAGGCGATTTCCTCATATAGGGCCTCCCCAACAATACATTCGAGGACCCCCCAACAAGCTAGCCCTGTGAGAGGAAGACACAGTAATATACGTAAGGTAGGTGTCCCACTTCACCCATCAGAAGTATAGCCGGCCTGACTACCCTGTTGTTAACAGTTTTGCACTTGACAACTTTGCCCATCTTTGTCAGCAATTCGTGCGAGGGCTACAGGTTTCAGAGCCAAGCCCGTTTGAACTGCAAAGCCCTTAAAATCGTCCATGTCCAGTTTGCACCTGACTCCCGGTGCCAGATCATCTTTTTCCAAACCTCGTAGCCTCCTCGTGGTTTGTTCTTTGGGCTCAGGGTTGCCTGACAAAGCTTGACGAGTTCCATCTTGAATTCTGCTGCCGGCTGCAGTCATCATTCCGCAAGCTTCTGCATCGGCTTGGGGGGGGTTGTTGAAGCCTTAAACCCCGAACCCCAAAGCCTACACCTCGCACGAGTTTCGACGAGTAACCTGCTGCCAAAGTGGAAGTCGGGCGTAGAAAAGCATATAACAAAACGAGAGCGTTTCGGCGTATGAAACAGTACATTGGCTTCTTTATTGATGGCCAGGAGAGGCTCCAGAGTCTTCGACATTGCCAGCGCAGCGGTGACTTCTCCCGTTCAACGGCTGAGGCCTGCCGCAGACCCTGATTGTAGGAATGTTGGCCGTCATGATGCTCCACAACACAACTCCAAGTTTGCCATTATGTTATTGCCATTGCTGTACTTGAATGATTGATGACTTGCACACATCATCTGTGCTCAAGCAAGCTTCGTTCACAGAAGCAGGACACCGACCCCAGGCCCCTAGGTCCCCAGGTCCCTGGGTCCCTAGGTCCTAGGAACATGCAGGATGGGATGTCTCCAGCCCTTGTGCACTGGTTGGATAACTGGGGTGTATGTCTCAAGAAGAAGATTGCCGTGGCTGTGTCTGACACACGACGGAAGCTGGGGCTGTGCTCAGCAGTCACATTGCCTGAGCAGTTGCGACTTGGAACAGACTGCTCCGGCCTCGAAGCCCCAGTCTATGCTCTCAGAGGCTTGTGTGTGCAACACACACATGAGTTTGCCTCTGAATGCGCATCTGCCCCGCGACGCATGATTGAGGAGAACGCCATGCCAGCAAAGTTGCTGTCAAACATCTTCTCAAGTGAAACTGTTCCCTATGTGCATGTCTACACATCCGGCTTTTCCTGCAAGCCCTTTTCCATGTTACATCATGGCACGAAGCTTCTGCAAGAGGAGCAAGCTCGCATTTTCTTCGCTGTCGTTCAACGCATTGCATGTGTTCGACCTGCTTGTTTTGTACTGGAAAATGTCCTGGGCATCTCCCGCGTGAAGGCTCAAGTCCTCAGGACATTGCAGGAGCAGGGCTACGCTGTGGAAGCTGTTGTCATGAACCCAGTGGATCTGGGCGAGCCTGTGCAGCGGCCACGCTATTATTTTATTGGTGCTCGCCTGGATGTCTGCACAATGCCTCAGAAGACTGTCCACGCATTTCTGACTTCAGCGTGGGCACACATTAAAGAGTCTGGCATTGCACGTGCCACTCTGGCAGACCGACTTCTCCCAGCACACCACCCATCGGTTCAGCGGATAGAGTGTGCCAGGAAGGAGACCTGGGCTCAGGCAAGGGAGAAGGGGTTTCCAGACAAGAACAAGGATGCAAAATGGTCTCAGCTACACGCCAAGTTTGCTGCTTTGCACGGGCTGAAGCAGCCGGGGCCAGGGAGATGTTTTCATGGAGGCATGCCGAGCCCTGCAGACAGGCTGCATTTGCATTTGCCACGTCAGCGGGATGGGCCTTCCTGTCCCAACAGTACGAGAAAGCTCCTGCGCTGGTGGCAGATTTGTCACAGAACGTTGATCGCGCTGCAGTGCGGACAGACGGCGCCCTGCCAACTGTCACACCTGGAAGTCATCTGGTGCTGCGGGAAGCTGGTCGGGTTGTCACACCCGTCGAAAAGATCTTGGTTCATGGTTTTCCTGTACATCGGATGGTTTTTCCTGCGCAGGTGACTGATGCAGAGCTGGCCAGCATGGGTGGAAACACCATGCACGTGCATGTTGTGGCCGTTGCCCTGATGCTTGCCACCAGCATGGTCGACTGGACCCTGCCTGCAGCCCATGATACCTGCATCGTCAGCGAAAAGGGCCCCAGCTGCAGGCCAACGTCCAAGGCAGCACGGCCGCAGGTCCCCAGGTCCAAGGCCCCCAGGTCATCGGAAAGAAGACTGCCCAAGCCCAAGCAAAAGTCTTTGCCACAGAAGTCGCGCCACAAGGTTCGGCAGGTCAGGAAGCTTGGTCTGGCAAGCCGTTGGCATCTGCCTGAGTGTCTCAAGCCGGGAAAGAAGCCTCCTGTTAACGGACGCAGAATACGACTGCCGGGTGCACGTGTGGACCCGACCGACAAGCTGCTTGCGTCTCGCTGGTGGTAGCCCGTTGTCCGTTTGATTTGTAATGTTTCACAGTCTATTTGTATATACTTTAATTGAATGGCATCGCCAATTCAGCTCTGCTGGTGTGTACAGTGTGCAGGCATGGACAATCACAAGTTGCGCTTCCAACAGGCCCAGCAGTTCTGCTGTCCCACTACGTTTGATGTCTGACACCTCCCCTCTGTCCTTCTCCTCGGATATCGTAGAAATCATTGTTTTCGCGGAAGGACGTGGGTCTGTTACAAATTCAGAACTGTCATCTGGCTGACTGCAAGAGCAAGACACAGGGCGGCTGCAAAAGTGCTTTCTGCTTGGGAAGTCAGCCAAATAAGATGCATTGTGGGGGGAGGGGGCATTTCTGCTGCACTCCGTGTTCCAATCGAGCTGAGTGGTTCAAACGTTGGCAAGTTGGCAAGCTCGGAAACCGAGGGTATGTGTCAAGTTCAGACGCAGTCACAGTATATTTTGGCAGCAGGCGCAGGGCACAAAAATGGCAACCTATAGCCCATGCCCCGCCACGCCGCGCAGGCCGCTGTCCCAACCAAACAGTCCGCTGCTTCTTGCCCGGACCCCAGGAGCTGTGGGAAAGACTTCCGATGCGAGCCCAAGCAGCTTGGTGCTTCAGAAACCTGCAGACACCAGGGCACTGCCAAGGAAAAGTCCAGAGCAAGATTACTGCAAGCATCCGCAGCCAAGGAGCTTGCACCGCGCACAGCCATCGCGGCCACCGCTGTGCCGTGCCAGATGTTCAACATCAGTTTCGTTAGCTGGGCCGATCTGGGACTCGCTCTTGTCAGCTGCCTCCTCGTCCTCGAGCTGCACGCTCACCGGCGCTTCTGAGGCAATATTGGTTCTCCTTGGTTTTTTGGCCTTGGGTTCGGAAACCTGCGGCGCTGGCCGCTTGGCAGTCACAGGCCGTGCCCTGGCTTTTGGTGGCAAATTGAACCTCCGTGCCAAGGCAGAAACAAGTGCCTGGCCACCATGCTTTTGCATGACCTACAACTTGAGATGACGGACGCGTTGCACACATCCCTCATCTGATGCATGTTCTGGCACAAGAGCCGGAGCAACGCAAGAAGTTGTGACTCGACTGCCGCCGCAGGCAGACAATTTATTTTATCTGAGACAGCGGTCTCCTCGTCGTATTTTTCAGTCTTTCTTGAAGCCAGTGCATCAGCTCAGGATTGGCAGCCGCCTCTCAACCAAATGGGGAGCCTATGAAGTTCGCTCTCTGACACCTGTTTGCGTTGGTCACATTGACTGATCCGGGTTTGTGGTGCAGCGCGTTTTGACAACACCTCCCACTGAGGAAGTGTATGCAGGCCAGTTGCGTGCGCCAGCACGAGCAGTACTATGTGCACAAGGTTGCAATGAACCTCTTTCTTGCACCTGATCGACCGGTGTCAGAATGTCTCCCTCACTGTCTCCAGCACCAAAGCCTGTTCAACGGAAATGTGCCTCAGCCAAAGGATTGGCTGAGGGCATGGAGAGCCTGTCGCACCGCAGCATCCTTTGTTTCAGCCGCCAAGTATTTTGACACGGACGACTATGCCTCAGGGCAGCGTGGGCAGGTGGATCGGTTTCGCAGCTTGGCTGAGTGATCGGTTAGGGTGTTTCACTGCAGATCCTGGGTGAACGCAGCACCTGCCAACCCAGGTCTTAAGAAGCTCATCACGGTCATGCACTGGGCTGTGAAGCACTTCCGGAAGGAGAAGCTGCAGCGTGCAAGGAGTATCAGCATCTCTGTTGATGATCGCAAGGAATACCGCCTTTTGCGATACAGGTGCAGCATGCAGCCTTCCGTGCACCAAGGTCTTGCTGAGGCTGGCAGCACCGAAGACAGGTCCCCAGGTCCCCAGGTCCCTGTGGCCCATGGTTCCCGGGCTCTCGAGGAATGGTGCTCTGACTGCCCAACCCTTGCGGCTGAAGGTTTGCTGGGTGTCCACAGAATAGGTGGGTCCGTCAGAGAACAGAAACTGGAGATTCATGATGAGGACAAAGCCCAAGTCATGACATCCTCTGTGTTGGATTTGCTCACAGAGGCCTGCCGGGATCCAGAAGGGAAGATCGACGCGGAGGCCTTGCAGCATTTGCAGGCGCATGTGCGCCATTGTGCATCCGACCAATGCCCAGCCGTCCAGAAGTCTGGGAAGCAGCTGGCAACTTGTTCCGAGTTGCCGAACCTGGTGTGGCTGTCCTACGACCCAGCCCACCAGATCCGCATTGCGTTTCAAGACCCACTGCACGCTGTCCCAGACTTCAACGAGCAATGGCAGCAGTTGTTCGCTGGCCGACATGCTCTGATACCCGATATAAAGAATTCGGAAGTTTGGAAGAGCCGTCTGCTGGCCGCGCAGCGTGCAGTCCTTGACAAGCATGGGTCTCAAGCTGGTCTTGAGAAGACGATGAGAGCCTTTTCGTTCGCGCAGCCACGATTTGACTCCACGGCGACGCCCATGATGAAGTACTGTTTGCTTGTGCGGGCCATTGCCATTCTCTGTGCCATGCAAGCCGTGGATGTGCCCTGTTTGCAAGGAGCCTTGCAATCCCAGCAGTAGTAACTCGGTTTCCTTCCTGCTGCTCTGGGCTACAAGGAACGCAACAAGCCAGAGGTCCGACATCGTGCTGAGCTGGCCCTTCAGAGGATGCAAGGTCCAAGTTTGTTTCGCTGTGCTCTCACGTGCGACTACACCTCGGAATGTCTGCGGTTTCTCCGTGTTTTCGATAAAGAGGATCCTGATGCAGCGAAGATACCAGAGATTCTAGAGGATTTCTGTGCCCGACTGAAGCTTCTTTTCGTGGATGGCTACATCCTTGCGGACACATGCTCTGCAGGTCCATCAGGTCCCCAGGTCCCCAGGTCCAGCACAGCTCCGCAGACTCAGATGGATGGCAAGACCATTACGCAGCGTGTCTACGAGGAGATAGAGACGCCAGAGCCGATGCTTGACTAAAGTGTATTACATGCAACTGACTTGAGGGGTTGCATTCAATGATTGTGACTCTGTTTCTGCGTTGTTCGCTGCCAGGATCTTCTACGGCAACAAGGTTCATTACCTCTGCACACGTGCTGGAGTGGCGGAAGTGCGCCGGATCATGGAACAAATGAGCGACGTGGTCGAGGCAATGCTCAAGCGTGTCAAGGTGGATCTGAGTGGTGATGAGGTCGGCGTTGCCTTGCAGACGTTCAGTGTCCAGCTGTGGGGTGATGCCCAGCGTCGGGCGGAGTTGCGAACGCATGCCGCAACATTGTGCAAGCTTCTGAAGCTGCAGTCAAGGACAGTGGTGCCTGTGGTGGCTTCACTTGGTGCAAAATTGCACTTCCTTGTACGCGCGGCCAAGGCACAAGGACTGTGTGTCAGCAACAAGCAGGCATGGTCATGGGCACTGTTGCCTGTGTGGCGCGCTCAGCATGTGCCGAAGGTTCAGTGGTTGGAGGACTGTGAAGTGCTCATAAGCTTCTACCTCTCCTTGAAAATCAATACTACCACACTGGAGCGCAATCTCGGCGAGTTGCTGCAGCAGCTGAACATGCACTCTGGGCCTTTGACTGAAACTGGCGCAAGCGTAGCATCAATCATGGAAGTGTCGGCCGAGGGTCCTCAGAAAGAAGAGGAGTTTTTCCATCCTCCAGCAGGACCAGGAGGGCTGCTTGAGCCAAGTGGCTTTGCGGTCAAACGTGCACAGCTGTGGCTGGAGCATTTTGGACGCCGCTTCCGGCAAACCTATCGCGCAAAGAATCCAGAGGCATCCAAATCCCAAGGTTCCCAGGAGACCAAGCATCGCCCCGGCACCTTGGCATCTATTGCAGCTGGGCAGGGCTCAGCCACGGCAGCCATTGTGTCTGCTGCCACACGTCATGGGAGCAGGAAGTGGGCACCTTCAAGCTTCGTTCCCCCCATGACCTTGCCCATGGTTTCTCGGCCGGACACCATGCATCTACATGGCACTCGTTGGGGCCCAGTCGGCTCTAGGGAAGCTCCGCGCAAGGAGTCGGAGGATGACCTCGTGAATTTCGAAAAGCGCACGGAACTGAAACGAAAGCGATTCTTGCAAGCTTTGGCATGTGTTGAGTCGTCATGTATAGAAAACAATTCAACAACGCTGTGTAGTAGTCTCTTCCTGGGGTTACTAAGGGCATGAGACTGCCGCCCAGTGCCGGGCTGCCAACGAGCCTGCGTACCAACCCACGGAGCCCAAGCTAGGTGGTCTGCGCTGCAAAGACACACCGTCCGAGTATTCCACGTTGGTGAACATCGGCAGAAAGCGGGCAGTGAAGGTTCTTCCCGTCTTCCGCTGGTACAGCGATGAGCCCGCCATTGCTCCCAAACCCGGCTTCGTTATTCTTGGCCTTCACGATTACAAGGAGGCTGATGTCATTGTGCTGCACCGCTTGGCAGACATTGACACGGTTTGTCATGATCAGCTGGTGCTGGGCCCAGCGACCAGTGCATGCACGTACATGTGTTGAGAACTGTCATTTCAATAATAATGTCGGACTGGATCAAGTGTGCCAAGGCCTTGGCTCTTGTCCACTGCTATGGTCTGGGAAAGATTCTAGCAGACAAGCAGGACATGGTCGCACTCATGGAGAATCCCACAGCCGCAAATGAGCAGCCGATGTTGTGCTTTGCCGCCTCTGCCCGCATTAAACTGCTGGGTATTCAGCTTGAGCGTGAGTTGCCGCAGCTCCTTGCTTGCATCAGCCCGGTGTGCATGCTCACGCAGACCGTATCTTATACAGCATGTCCAGAGCGTCATGGACTGAGGTGCCGTCTCTATTACGAAGCACTGGGGGTCTGTGCCAAGACTTGGAATTCTAGGTGGCTTCTTGCTCTTGGGAAGCTCGATGTGCCGAAATGCAGCAAGAGGAGACCCATTCTGACACTACGAAGCCGTGCGGATGTGTGGAGTTTTCTGAGGTCAGTCAGGGTGCTGAACCGGAAGCGCAGCTTGAGTGTTGGCCCTGTCAAGATGAAGTCGCTGAAGAAGAGGTCGTGACCACGTCAGCCGGTGATGCATCTACACAAAGAAGGGGAATCGATTGTGATGAGGGGTTTCTGGTTCCTGGTACCGGAGCAATACGGTGCCGGATGGTGCAAACCAGGGGTCTATTGCGCCAGGAAAAAAGTGCGTGAATACACTTTTCTGCAGAAAGCATATGCTGCATGGAAGGAGAGAGGTCATTACACGTCCAGTTGGTGCCAACCGGGGGTGTATGGTAGCGGGAATTTCCCAGGCCAATACACTTCGTCACCTGGATTCATAGGACTGCCAGAGCTCAGCTGTAGGCTTGCTGAGTCCAGAGCTGGCGCGTACCAACCATGGTTCCCATCCAGCTGAAGGGTCATTCCCCTGATATGAAGGGTCATTGTGTGTTTTTGTGGGATACCTAGGGAGCATGTTGAGTTTATATAACCGACCCTTCACCTGTGTTGGGAGACCCTTCAGCTTGGCCGGACCGAGAAGAATCCGTCTGAAGGGTGCTTCTTGCAGACTGAATGGTGTTTGAGCAGTTTCGTCTTCTGGACCTGAAGCTGTAGCTGTATAACTGCATATCAAGCGCACCTTCCAGTGCCTTCCGGGTCTCCAGGTACCAAGGTCCCAATGGCGTGGGCGTCTGTCGGCTATCGCGCGTGCTGAATTGAGCTGTTTGACACGCGAGCATCTAGACAGTTTGTTTCAGGACAGCCCTGTGAAGACCGTGACTTTCCCAAGCTTCTGGGTGGAGTCTGCCAAGAAGGCCATGGTCTGGGCACGCAGGGATCAAGTCCTTGAGGTTGGCGGGGCACCGTCCGACAGCGACAAGGCAGTGAAGCTGCTTCTCCGAGCTGCTGCAGAGCAGTTCAATCATGCCATTGAGTGCACCGATTATGTCATCCTTCAGTTGAAGACCAACGACAACGTTGCGGATGCAATTTCTCGCGGAGACTTGATTCTTGAGGAGCTGGACGGGGGCAACATATGCTATGTGGTTTCCTCCTGGTTCTCGCTGTTTGAAGATATGCCGTTCCAGAACAAGTCCGAGTGGATGCTGACCATTGAGTTGCTTGCCTGCAGTGTAGTGTAGTCTACAGGGATGATGGTCCCTGATCTTCCAAGCTGCTGCAGCGGCGTGCCCACGCGCAGGAGATGCACACTCCTTCCCTATATCGATGCTTCATCTTGGACTTTGCTGCACCGCAAGTTCATGCCAGAATTCAGCCTGAGGCCTTTTTTACGGCGTTTACGTATTACCCGCAATTTCGTCAGTGCTACAAGGCGTCAGAACCCGTTTGTCCTGGAGGTCCACCCAGACCCGGTCTGTCCGTTGTGTTCGTGCAGCACCACAGCAATGAGCGTGGGTTTCTTTGCGTACAAGTCCGAAGATCTTGCACTCCTGGAGATGAGTTTGCCGCAGCTCCTGCAGAAGATTTGGTGTGCAGCTCAAGAGCGACAGCGAGGACAAGCCTTGCCTGGCTGTCGCTCTTGATGTGCACACCACAGACAGATGGCAGCTGCTGTTAGTTAGTCGGTGTTAAGTTTTGAAGTCCGGATAGTAGGCCTAGAGGATCGGAGCCTCACTCTTAGTCCAAAGAACTACGCAAGATGCGGTGCCGATAAGCAAGTTCATCCAAGAAGCCGAGGCACTGCACTTGCAGTCACGCAAGCGCAAGCTGGAAGACCGCATCGAGGAGCTGAAGCTGGAGCTCGGAGTCGATCAGCAGAACTTGACGAAGGTTCAGCGGCAGCTTGCTTCCCTGGCCGAGAGCCAGTCCAGCTGAGCCCTTCTCCAACTTTGCGAGGATGAGTCGAAGGTCTGCTTGGCAAGGAAGATCTGAAACTGGACCTTCAATTTTCGGGGGCCAGCCCAAGCAAGGTCCGAGCAGAAACAGAGGCAGCGACTGTTGCTGCTACTGCTCGTGTCCCGAATCTTTTGATGTTCAGACAGCAGACCTTTTCGTGATGGAGTTTGCCGAAATTCAAAAATCCGCTCCGTGTAACAGTGTAGCAGTGTAACACATGCAACTGTGTCTTCCAGCTGCATCAAATCATCCTGACGCGGCTCTGAGAGTTTGCACATGTGACATGAACGGGCCGTCAGTGTGTGTGTGTGTGTATGTGGTTGGACGCCATGGTATTCCTTTGCAATGTTTGAGGGATTGCTGGTCTCGAGGCTCTGCGCTGGCCCAGCCCGTGTCCTCAGGAGCTTACAAGGCACGACTGGTGATCCAGATTTGTAGGAAGCGCGATGCCTTTGCCGCCAGACTCCAACAAACCTATTTCGTCACGTCGTGATCTGACAGAGGTTTCATTCGAGCTGTGTGCGTTTGTGTTGAGAATCTACAGGCCTGTCTTTGAAGACTCATGTAACAGAACCACTTTGCAACTTCCGGCACCTTTCAAATTCTGCAAAGGACCCTTCAAAGGTGCTCCGGGATTGGTGGGGTGTCTGAAGGGTGCCCTGTGGAGTCTGAAGGGATATCTGCTCATACCAGGCGACGGCAACATCTTCCTGGAGGTTGGGGTCAAGGTGTGGCAAAAGGCAGGATGCCTGGAAGCAACCATGCCTCTTGCAGCTTGAAGGACCTTGGATTTCGGCCTCTCAAGCCAATTCTTCCTGGACCCCAGGACCCCAGGTCCCAAGGCTCCCACTCCAGGTCATAAGCATCCTTGCGCATTCTTGTGGCCCATGGCCTGGGCTTCCGTTGGCTATATGGCGCTCACCATGGGCGACTTCCGAGAGTTCTACAGGGAATATGGCTCGGACTTGGCAGAGGGTCGCTCGCTTTGTGGAACATCGACACAGTTCCCATCCGGCTTTGTGGAGTCCCCCATGAAGGCCATGGTCCTGACGCGCAAGGATCGGGTCCGGCGCTTGGGTGGAGCCCCGTCCGATGGCGACAAGGCCGTGAAGATGCATCTCCGAGCTGCCGGCGAGCGGTTCAAAGATGCCATAAATTGCACCAACTACGTCATCCTGCACTTGAAGACCAAAGACAACATTGCAGATGCCATCTCTCGTCGTGAGCTGGGGCTTGAGGACGGCGCCTACGTGGTGCGGTCCTGGTGGTCGCCCTACCAGGAACTGCCCTTCAAGGACAAGTCCAAGTGGATGCTGACTTTGGAGCCGCTTGCTTGCATCATGACATGTCACCATGGCCTGAGGGACTGGGCTTTGCAAGGTACAGCTGCATGAACTGTGTAAGTCAGGAAATGCACCTTGCTTCCGAGACTTGATGCTTGGACTCTGGCAGCAAACCCAAGCACTGCTGCAGCAGGCTGCCCTGAGACACCTCTTGCATTTACTTACTACGTGGCTATCCCGCTTCCTCAAGCGATCAATGCCGTTGCTGACGGCTGCGTTGATCTCTGCAAGCAGGACACCCAGCCTGTGCTGACTTGCTTGGCCCGCAACTTCAGTGCTGCAGGGCGTGAGAACCCGTTTGTCATGGACCAGGTCCACACGGACCCGGTGTTTCCATTGTGTTCTTCCAGCACCACAGCGATGGGCGTCGGTTTCTTTGCGTACAAGTCCGAACATCTTCTGCTGCTGGAGATGAGTGCGCCACAGCTGCTGCAGAAGAAGGCCCCGATCGAGCATCCTTGGAGAAGATCGATTCGGGTGACCTGCTTTTGCGCAAGGCAGCCTTCAGCATGACGCAAACATCTACACAGGACGCGGAGCCCATGAGCAAGTTCATCCAAGACGCCCAGACACTGCACTTGCAGTCACGCAAGCGCAAGCTGGAAGACCGCATCGAGGAGCTGAAGCTGGAGCTCGCATTCAATCAGCAGAGCTTGACGAAGGCTCAGCGGCAGCTTGCTTCCCTGGCCGAGAGCCAGTCCAGCTGAGCCCTTCTCCAACTTTGCGAGGATGAGTCCAAGGCCTGCTTGGCAAGGAACCAAGCGTCGGAAGATCTGAAACTGGACCTTCAATTTTCGGGGGCCAGCCCAAGCAAGGGCCGAGCAGAAACAGAGGCAGCGACTGACTGTTTTGATGAGGTCCCCAGGTCTCAAGGTACGTCTTTGCTGCTACTGCTCGTGTCCATAATCTTTTGATGTTCAGACAGCAGACTTATACGTGATGGAGTTGGAGAATTTCAAAAGTCCGCTCCGTGTAACAGTGTAACACATGCAACTGTGTCTTCCAGTTGCATCATATCATCCTGACGCGGCTCTGAGAGTTTGCACAGGGGACATGAACGGGCAGTCAGTGCGTGTGTGTGTATGTAGTTGGACGCCATTATATTCCTTTGCAATGCTTGAGGGATTGCTGGTCTCGAGGCTCTGCGCTGGCCGAGCCCAAGGCACGACTGGTGATCCAGATTTGTAGGAAGAGCGATGTCTTTGCCGCCAGAATCCAACACAAAGACGCCAGCAAACCTAGCATCACGTGGTGCTCTGACTCAGAGGCTTCATTCTCTGCAACGTCCGGCACCTTTCAAATTCTGCAAAGGACCCTTCAAAGGTGCTCCGGGATTGGTGGGGTGTCTGAAAGGTGCCCTGTGGAGTTTGAAGGGATATCTGCTCATACCAGGCGACGGCCACATCTTCCTGGAGGTTGGGGTCAAGGTCCGGCAAAAGGCAGGATGCCTGGAAGCAACCATGCCTTTTGCAGCTTGAAGAACTGCGTGACCTTGGATTTCGGCCTCTCAAGCCAATTCTTCCTGGACCCCAGGACCCAGGTCCCACGGCTCCCACTCCAGGTCATAAGGATCCTTGCGCATTCTTCGTGCCATGGCCTGGGCTTCTGTTGGCTATATGTCGCTCACTGTGGCCGACTTCCGAGAGTTCAAAGCAGAATATGGCTGGGACTTGGCAGAGGATCGCTCGCTTTGTGGAACATCGGCACAGTTCCCATCCGGCTTTGTGGAGTCCCCCATGAAGGCCATGATCCTGACGCGCAAGGATCGGGTCCGGCGGTTGGGTGGAGCCCCGTCCGATGGCGACAAGGCCGTGAAGATGCATCTCCGAGCTGCCGGCGAGCGGTTCAAAGATGCCATAAATTGCACCAACTACGTCATCCTGCACTTGAAGACCAAAGACAACATTGCAGATGCCATCTCTCGTCGTGAGCTGGGGCTTGAGGACGGCGCCTACGTGGTGCGGTCCTGGTGGTCGCCTACCAGGAGCTGCCCTTCCAGGACAAGTCCAAGTGGATGCTGACTTTGGAGCCGCTTGCTTGCATCATGACATGTCACCATGGCCTGAGGGACTGGGCTTTGCAAGGTACAGCTGCGTGAACTGTGTAAGTCAGGAAATGCACCTTGCTTCCGAGACTTGATGCTTGGACTCTGGCAGCAAACCCAAGCACTGCTGCAGCAGGCTGCCCTGAGACACCTCTTGCATTTACTTACTACGTGGCTATCCCGCTTCCTCAAGCGATCAATGCAGTTGCTGACGGCTGCGTTGATCTCTGCAAGCAGGACACCCAGCCTGTGCTGACTTGCTTGGCCCGCAACTTCAGTGCTGCAGGGCGTGAGAACCCGTTTGTCATGGACCAGGTCCACCCGGACCCGGTGTTTCCATTGTGTTCTTCCAGCACCACAGCGATGGGCGTCGGTTTCTTTGCGTACAAGTCCGAACATCTTCTGCTGCTGGAGATGAGTGCGCCACAGCTGCTGCAGAAGAAGGCCCCGATCGAGCATCCTCTTGGAAGCTTCTGGCTTTTGCCAGCTTCGGTGGCCTTGGAGAAGATCGATTCGGGTGACCTGCTTTTGCGCAAGGCAGCCTTCAGCATGACGCAAACATCTACACAGGACGCGGAGCCCATGAGCAAGTTCATCCAAGAAGCCCAGGCACTGCACTTGCAGTCACGCAAGCGCAAGCTGGAAGACCGCATCGAGGAGCTGAAGCTGGAGCTCGGAGTCGATCAGCAGAACTTGACGAAGGTCAAGCGGCAGCTTGCTTCCCTGGCCGAGAGCCAGTCCAGCTGAGCCCTTCTCCAACTTTGCGAGGATGAGTCGAAGGTCTGCTTGGCAAGGAAGATCTGAAACTGGACCTTCAATTTCGGGGGCCAGCCCAAGCAAGGGCCGAGCAGAAACAGAGGCAGCGACTGACTGTTTTGATGAGGTCCCCAGGTCCCCAGGTCCGTCTCAAGGTCGTCGCTGCTACTGCTCGTGTCCCGATTTTTGATGTTCACACGGCAGGCTGATACGTGATGGAGTTGGAGAATTTCAAAAGTCCGCTCCGTGTAACAGTGTAACACATGCAACTGTGTCTTGCAGCTGCATCAAATTATCTTGACACGGTCTGAGAGTTTGCACATGTGACATGAACAGGCAGCATGTACTGGGACAGCAGCCTTGTCCTGTGCCGTTGCGATGTTGCGAAATCTATTTATTGGTGTGCTCTCTAGACTTGCATGGTTGTTCAGAGTCGAGCACACTGCCCGCCGCCACATTCACTTCCGCAAACCCTCCGATTCCAACCAGTAGTCCTTGCACTCTGCCATGGCTACCAACTTCTGGGCGGGTTGGCCCCTGGCGTTGCGTAAAGCTTCGCTGTCCTGAGAGCCTGACAACATATTGTTTTGCTCACTGCACCTCTTTGTGAAGCAGTGTCAATCCAACTGACCTCTTTAGCCAGCTTGCTTGAGAGCTTGATGCGGGTATGACAGCTTGGGAGCAAAATTGCACTGAAGCTCGTGCAAGTCGAATCGAGGGTGCTGCGACATTGTCACACTGCCTGTCTGAACCCATGCAACTGCAGGTCTTTAGGCCCCAAGGTCCCAAGGCCCACAGGACCAGGAACATTCTTGCGTCAGCCGACCAATCATCCTTGCACCATGACGGTTCCGTCTTTGCCGAACGAGAAAACTGTCCGGCTCCTAGTAAGGGGCTATGGCGTCGAGCTTGAGTGCTTCTTTTTTAGCCACAGGATCAGAGTAGCAAAAGCTGTTGGGTGCAGGTGGCCTCCAGAAAGGTGATGCAACAAATCATTCCATGGGCTATCGTCTCAGCCTCTTCTGGAGTCTTGCGCAGTCCTGGATCCCATTTTCTGTTATCAGCATCCTCTTAGCTTAGGTGCGGGCAGAGCTTCCATCCAAGCTGCCAAAGGCCAAGACGATGCACAAGACCCCACCGCTTGCGATCGAAAAAGACAGCAAGGCTCAGGACCTCACTGGCTACAAGGCAGTTTGTTGTCAAGTGGCCTCAAGCAGTAGGAAGTCGTGTCTTTGTGCAGACTGTCCCATGTTGATGCCATAGTGACGGCAAGGCTGGTGTTTGGGATCCTGAACAGTGCGTGGCTTCACTGCAAACCACTGGATTGTATGAAGCCAGTGGCCTATCGCTCTGGCTGCGCACCGGGGCCTTGGACGCAGTGGCCAATCCTGATGACGACATCAACTGGGGCAACCTTCTCCATTTCGAGGAGAACTTCTTCAGCAAGGCTGTGGTCTTCAAGGCCTCAGTCTCCCGTACGAGTGGCGCCAAGAAGCAAAAAACGTCTCGGAAAAGGCTGCTGTGGCCATGCGTGATGGTCTGCGCGATCGACCGCATCAAGGATTCTACCGCCTACGAGCACTTTGACTCATCGTTGAGCTTGGCTGGAGGCCAGTTTGTCCTCTGGGCCTGGTATGTGGCCTTATTCAGGGCTCTCCACGCGCAGGACATAGCATCAAATGCTTGTCTTTTTGTGACCTGCTTCGTTTTGACTTGCCCTGTTGCACCTGCATTTTAGCTAAATGTATACAGGACAAAGAGATGCTGGAGATACTGTGGGAATGCGGCTGCTGCGTGACTTTGCAGCTGCGGCTTTGCGAGGATGAGTCGAAGGCCTGCCTGGCGAGGAACCAAGCCTCGGAACATCTGAAAGTGCTTGGCAGTCCTGCTCTCTCGGACACGTTCTTCACGTTCGCTCGCATGGTCGCCGTCTTCCGCGTTGACAAACAAGAGGAAGGCGACAATTTCAGCCTGCGATATGGCAATGCTGCCTACAATGCCTCCATTCACAAGGCGGCAGTGGCTCTTCGGCCGTTTCTGGCGCACGGAGGTCTTCAGAAAGCTGCTCTCCAGCTGGACCTGGAGTACGGCAGAGATGTGCTTAGCACGCAGTACAGCAAACTGCATCGGCTCATCAGTGAAGCCAACAAATCAGCGACTGCAACCAGGAGTGCTCCGGATCTTGCTGCATGGATGGTTCAGATGCTAACCTTGGCATTTCGGACAAGGATTATTTCACTTTCAAAGGCTACTGAGCAATGGCTTTGCCACAACAGGAGCACCGGGGCCATGGGATTTTGGGCTGCTTGCCTTGTGTCTTTGGAGGCATGGGTGCTCTGTCCGTCCAGCGTAGCGCCATGCAAGTAAGTTTTCGAGTGTTACATGACCCGCAGCTTGTCTTGCAGCAGGTCCTGGACCATGCGAGGAAGCTGTGTGGCAAGCTCCCGGAAGCAGAGAAAGCCAAGTTGGAGGCAGTCCTCAACGAGCTAAGTGACCCTGAGGTTTGCTGGGCGAAATTTCTCAGTGAAGGCTACAGCAAGATGGATGCCCCCATCGGGGAGGATGATGATGCAGATCAGGTGGATTGTGCTGAGCTCTCCCAGACATACTTGGCAAGTGTAAAGGAGAAGTTCAACAAGGCCACCGGCTCAATGCTGGATCTTCTGCTGCAGGTCATGTCCGGCAAGTTTCTTCAAGATTGCCGCAGTTTGGCCACAGCAACTACAACGTTTGCGCAGGCTCTTGCAGCGGCTGCAGATGGTCAGGGGCAGGACAGCTGTGAACTGGTGAAGCAGTTCCAGGTTGTGTTGACGCAGTTTGAGGGCAATTTTCCAAGTCAGTGGTGACTATGACGGGATCCGTGCCTGCCCCGAGCCTGCTCTCTTCTCTCAACCTCACGGAAGATGCGGATGAGGCTGACAGAGCACGGCAATGGAAGAGCGTTCAGGCAGAGAGGAAGAAATTCGTTTCTTTTTCAGTTCCAGCATCTTGGACAAAGGACGCCATCCTTGCAGCGTTCCGTGGCTCAGGGAAGGTGTTCAGTCACAAAGGCAGCCTGAACAGCGCACATCGCCTCATCTGTGCTGCAGCCGATCTTGTGAAAGAAGACACCAGTGAGCCCTGGAGCACTCGCTGCACACCCGCTAAAACCATGTGGGAGGAGGTTTGCAACTTCTGTGCCGGAGTCAGCGGGTCGGAAGACTTCATCATGATCTTTGATGGTCGCATGCGTGAGGTCAGGCGCTGGAACGACCCTTCGCTGAATGTATCTGTGTGTGTGTGTGTGTGTGTGCGCAGGTCAGGCGTGGGAAGGCACGCAGTCTCAGGATATCTGTCTATAGGGCATGCTTCGACGAAAGCAACCAAGGAGGACCAATGGCAGAATTTCCAGCACACTGAAGAAGCCACGATCGTTTACTCGGGAGGTTGTCCTCCCAGGGCCGGTCGCACACGACGTGTGCCTTGTGGTGCCAGGAAGTTGGAGTCCATCACCATCCGCTTCCCAGTTCAGAGGGCCAAGATTCGTGCTGAGAAGAAAGCGGCCTTCAATGCATGCGGTGAGGCGTCGACCTACCAGGGCACCTACTCCGGTGTCAGCTTTCGTGCCACGTCGGAGATTCCTTTGATTTCAAAGGAAGAGAAGGCAAAGGTCCTGGAACAGACCGTCCCAGATTCACCTGAGACTTGGCAGGATGTGCATGGCACCGATGTTCCGCTCTTTTGGCAAGAGTCAAAGCCAATTGCCTTTTACACGGCCGTGCTGACGGAGTACAAGATCCAGGCTGTCTTCGATCTCACCGCTGGCAGTGGTGCCCTCATGGAGGCTTGCATGGGAGCGGGTGTGTTGTACCATGGACTTTGTCCTGACCTTAGTTGACTCGTCTTGAGCTCCATGTGCTGTGCATCTCTTGGAAAGACCTGAGCTGCAGGTCTCAACCGCAGTCACATGGCCTGGGTGCAGGCAGTGGCCGACAGAGCTGCTTGTGGCCTCATGGCAGTTGAAGGGTCCAGCCTCTTCTCCGAGGAGGGTGCGAAAGGAGTGCGCAAGCACTTCAAGAACATCTTGGAGTCCCTCGTTCCTGCGGGACAGGATGATCAGGAGGAGGAGCTTGAGCCAGCCAGTCCGACTCAGGGGTAGAGTACACAGCAAAGCGTGCTGGACCTGGCCGTCACACGTCTTTAATAGCAGGCAGACGTAGAGCTGTTTTTCCCAGGTCCCAGGTCCACAGGTCCCCAGGTCGCAGGAAAGTGCCCTGGCCGCGATATGCTGCAACTAGGATCAAGCTTTGTTGGCAGATTTTGCGCTACAGTTTCTGCCTCGCAAAAATCGCGGCATCTGCCTGTTCAATGCCGTAGTTGAGTGTGAGCCTACTGAAGCTTGCTGTTGCATGCAACTTTGTCCGTGGCTCACAGAAGGACAGCAAGGCAGCTTGGGTCCCCAGGTCCCCAGGTCCCTGACAATCGCGACGCATGAAGGGCATGCCTGCAGGCGGGTCTGCGCCTACTCATCGGCTTTTTCGCAAGACGAGCGTAAAGGCTGCAAGGTGCTGCAAGAAAGTGCGCCGGACCAAAGAAGCTAAGGTGCGAGCTGCGGCAGTGAAAGCAGGACTTGCTCCTCCTGCGCGCCGTGCATTCCCCCTTTTTGTGATGGAGAAGAACACAGTCCAGAAAGGTGGCTCCAAAAGGGCTTTTCAGAATGAGCTCAAGCGCCTTGGCAAAGTTTGGTCCCGGCTGCCCGATGCAAGCAAGCAGCCCTACTATGAGAAGAGCGCTGCAGAGTTTGTGCGACAGCGAGATGCCTTGGCAGCACACGGCATCTTCTGCGGCCAACGTCCGCAGAAGCCTGTTCATGTGATGGAGGCTCCAGTGTCGAAGGCAGCGTGCATCGGGCCGTACGTGCTGGAGTCACCTGAGTCTATTGGAGCAGGCCCAGTCCGGTTGGGAACTGGTGCGTACGGAAAGGTCTACAAGTGCAAATGCTTGGAGACAGGGCGGCAGCTGGCAGTGAAAGCGTTCTATGGCCGCTTCGCTGGGGATGAAGCAGCCCAGGAAATCAAGCTATATCGGCATCTCATTGCAAACCTTCTCCAGTCGGACCTGCACTTCTTTCCTGTGTTCCATGCTTCCGATGCAGCCTCGGAGCCCTACCCCTGGCTTGCCATGGAGTATGCCGGTCCCTGTCTCAATGGCATCTTGAGAACAGGGTCAAAGTTGCCCAAACGATCCGTCTTTGCAATCGTTGCCCAGCTGAAGTTTGCCTTGATGGCGCTGCACCAAGCAGGAATCTTGCATCTCGACGTCAAGCCGGCAAACATACTGTGGTGTGGGCAGCTGCAGCAGCTGAAGCTATGCGACATGGGCATGGCCGAAATGCGCGATGTGGCCATGAAGGATTTGCGGTACACCGAGTATGTCACCTATCCTTTTCGACCCCCAGAGCTACTTGACGTTCACGGGGAGAAGGAGCTTCAAAGGCTGCATCGACTGCTGACCCCAGCCGTAGACCAGTGGAGTTTTGGATGCACCATCTTCTATGTGGCCACCTGTAAGCCTCTCATGGAAGGACTTGTTGGCAAAGCCGACGGTTTGAGCAAAGCAACACTGAGTCTGTGGTGTGCCAATTGGTCGCATTTTGCGAATCCCAATCAGGCCAAACGAGCCAACTTGAGCAGGCAGGTGCTGCAGCTGTACAGTCGGCTTCAGTTGGCTGCTGATTTGCAGGGAAGCATTCTGAAAGCTTGCAATCCCAAGGCAGCTAATCGCCCCTGGCCAGCAGTCGCCGATTTGAAAGCAGGGGTTGAAGGCCAGCCTGCGTGCAGCGCTTAAAAGGCTTCCAGTCACATTGAAGACGTGACTTTCGTTGCTACAGATGATCAGTTGCTTATGCCCCTCATCAGCGCTGAATTTCCCCAATAGCTTGCGGCAAAACTCCACCGTGTAAATTAAAACTCCCCAGTAGCTTGCGGCAAACCGTCACCCCGCCAATTGCAGCAAAACGGCACCCTGCAAATTACAATTCCCCAATAGCTTGTGGCCCACCCTGCAAATTACAATTCCCCGCCAACCTTGGCAAACTAGACCGAGTAGGTTCTCGCACAGGCAATCTTCTTGGAAGCTGTCGTCGCTTTTGGACATGAAGTCTGTTTTCTGTAGTAACCGAACTGTCTTTGGCATCTGGGTTGGGCTGCCACTGTTATCGTTTCTGAACATCTGGGCTCGCGTAGTGTATATGCTGGTATGGTTATAGATTCTGAAAATTGCAAAGCCCTATAGACTCCAAACCCTAAGAGCAATTCTACAGATCGACTGAAAGCCGAAGTTCAGTGTTGCTCTCTTGGAATGGGGTCCGGAGAGTTGACACAGGACCCCAGGTCCCAAGGTCCAAAGGACCATGCGTGTGAAGCTGAGTGAGACAAAATATCGCCGCTGGGTGAACGGCACTGTCACACATGTTTGCAGTTTAGTCAAGCTGTGAACCAGAAACCTGACAGGCATGCCGGGCCCACGACCACTTTCAGCGGAAGACTGTCTTTCGTTGCTCGGCCAGTCTTTTTCAATTTCGGTGAATCGTTGAAGTCGCAGCATGTGGGCGAAACGAAGCGGTAATGTTCCGGTTGACAGTTTGTGAAGAAACCTTTTTTTCGGGCAAGCACCATGGCAGGAAGCTTGTCGTCCAGAAGCATGCCAACTTGCCGCACACGTGGCCGGCCATTTGCAGGCAGACCATGCAGGCAGTGCTTCAACCTCTTGTGTTCGCGTTTTTGAAGTTATTACATTCATTTGAGGAAGTAGCGAGCACATTGACTGGGAGCAGGGCCTGCAAGCTGTCATTTCGCTGGGGAAACGGACACAAATAATCATATATGCAACTAGCTCTGAGAGTTGCATGTATTGCAAGAATAGTTGAGGTAGGGTATCCCGAAGCCCTCGCTGTCTGGGAAGGTCGTGAAACTCTGTGTGGCCGGCGTGCATCTGATCAACTTGGCGGCCTTTCTGTTCCGCGACTGGGAGCTGCAGGATGATGTGCCGACGGTGCTCGGTGCCAAACTTGACACCCAAACCCTAAACCCTTTAAACCCTTCTGTTTGCCCCAGGCATTTTTGGCGGCCTACCTCATGTACCGTAGCAATGCCGTGAATACCAAAGCAACTCGAAAGCACATTGTTTCGGGACCGGATCCGTCAAAGCACGTGCTGTTGCCCATGTCTTTCCTGACTGCATGTGCTGAAGGTGAAAGTTGACAGCTTGGCCTACAAGGTCATGATGTTTGCCAACCCCTTCTTCAGCCCTGGCTGGACTGTCATCCAGGCATTTCGTGGCTCTTTCACGCATGCGGTATCCAAGGATAGTGCTTTGGCTGCAGAATCAATTCTTCAGGAAAAGGTCCTTCATTCCCGAAGGCCTCGTTCTGCAAAGCTTTAGCTGTATCCCGAAACGAAATGGACCTTCCAACACGCACCAGCAAAATCCCAGAAACCCAAAGCTCTATAGACCTTAACCACTCAGAGGTGAGACTGCAGGTGTTCCTACCGGTTTAGGGTTTAGAGTTTATAGTTTAGGTTTTAGGGTTGAGGGATGCATTGTTGAGACGGTCCGCTTCAGAACCACTGAACAAGTCAAGCGGACAAGTCCGTGCAACATGACATCATGCAAGCATCGGAGCACATGGCATGTGCCCATGTCTTTTGCAACGACGTCATCAGTCTTACTTTGGTATTGCCATTGTTGCTGCGACGACGATGACGACGAATACCACTGCTTCTGCTGCTATTACTACAGGGTTTCAAATTTATTGCTGACGTGACTAGTGCTTCTTGCTACGAAGACAATGATGGTGTGCGCTTTTTGAACATCGAGGGCTTTGGGGCCTGTGTTTTGTTTTGTTTTCCATTGTTGCGGGTTGAATTGTACATGCTTAAATGAATTTGTTTGATACGGGTATGTATGACTTTGGAGGTTAGGCTGGTGTTACAGGATTGAGTAGCCGTTCTGGCAAAAGAGTAAGTGTCGGGAGGTTGCTGCCGGCCGAGGCAACGACCCCGTGTGCCGGCACTTGAAGACTCTGCAGCGGACGGCGGCTTTCCAGAGCTTGCCTTGCTGGGAACAACTTGGGTTCCTCTTCCTGGCAACATTTTGCCGCAGCACTGAGTGGCTTGTCTTCGAACCGAACTGCAGACACACTTTGTCGTGTTTATTATGAGCAGCAACACTCAGGTTGGCATTGTTCTTCCTCAGCGAAGCCCGTTTGTGGAAGGCGCGAGGCAACTTCTGCTTGGCAGCCACCATTGTCAAGTACTTCAAAGCAACAGGGGGCGTGTGCAGACGGAAAAGATTCCTGGCAAACAAGATAGCTGCGAAGCGCGACGTCAAGCAAGGGACAAAGAAGAAGAAGGCCAAAGCTGTCATCCAGCAGAACAAAGACATCCAACGATTCTGCCTTGCAGATGCTTTAGCGCTGGCAGCTATCTTCGTGGATGGAAGGCTGTCGAAGCACTTCCAAGGCCAGCAGTCCAAGACTTGGACGGTCTCTGCAGATGTGCACCATTGCTGCAACATATGTCAGCCTGTGTCAGCAAGAATGCACCGGTACGGATTGTGCGCCGGTTGTGTCATGGGAATCTAAGGCTTGATGACATCCCTTTCGAGGCCTCTAATCTCATGCCTGTCCATATCCTCGCCACGTTGCAGTGGCTCGGTCGGGTGGAGGCGGGCCCGGACGATGATGGCGGGGCCGTTTGGAATGGAACAAATGCTCGTGTGTTTCGAACTTGGTGTGGCGGAAAGCCTGTATCCCGAGTGCTGGAAGATGTCCAGGGCCACTTGGAGGAGCATCGTCTGGCTCTGAAGGCTCGCAAAGCCGACACGAGACCTGTTGAGAAATTAAAGCAGGGATTGAAGGCCTCCATGATACCCTGGAATGCATGCCAAGCAGTCACATGCTTGATGACGCTTGGCTTTACCCCTTATGAGGAATTGAAGGTTCAACTCGGTGGCCCATGTCGGAACACAACATCTTCTGAAAACAAAGCAGCCGTTACCGAGGAACTTCGCGTTCCAGAAAAGATGTAGCTTGGCTGACATCTTTGAACAGCTATAGTGGCAGTCATGCATGTTCGGCTACGGAGGGTCAAGACCACGCCAAACTAAAAACGAGCCCACCCAGGTAAGTGGGTTGGATCCACACAGCCCACGCTCAACGGCAAGCTGGCTGCTTTCTTGGACAGAAGGCCGCTTGCCCACCCTAAACCCCTAAACCCTAAACCCTAAAACCGCTGTCTGCCTGGGATCTACCACCCGCCAGGTCTGGCAACTCTGGCAAGTGAGTGGCGGCAGGTCCGTAGCGGCGCTCAGGCCCTCAGGTCCCCAGGTCCCCAGGTCCTCAGGTCCCATGCTCAGCTTAAACTTCAATTTAATTACAAACAAGTCGTGCCGGCTTGGGAATGGGACCGTGCAAAGCAAGTCAAGTCTCACACTGCTTCGCTGCTTCAAGCGCACAGAGTTGGTTGTCAAGTCTCACACTGCGTCGTTGCCTCAAGCACACAGAGTTGGCTGCTACTCTGGAAAAGAAGAGCTTACCAGATCGCCAGACTCGGTATATGGAAAGCTCCAGAGAATCCTGCCGAATGCCTTTCAGAATGAAGAAATGGACACGTATGATACCTCCTATGCAATCACAATAGGACAATAAGCAGAGATGGGATTCGTGCCTCGTCGCCAACAGCTGGGATGCCAGCGCAGCTCGGAGCTTGTGGTTTAAGCTTTGGCGAGAAGGCACATTTGCTATGGTTTTCAAGGTTTCATACCCAAATCTCCGGATACCTTACAGCACAGCCCCATACCTTAAAATTTTTCGCAAGGGTCGGGGGCTCAACGCAGCAGCAACACTTGCATGATCGTTTTCTTGAACCACAACAACAGCATGAAGTTGGTCGGTTGGCAGCTTTGCGTCGGCATGTGCAATTTGAGAACCAGCATGTCGGTGACGAGGGCGAGTTTGAGCATGGACAGTTGTTTCCACAGCATGTTGTCGACCAGGTTAGCATGATTGGGGCCTCCACGTTTTCCTTTGAAGACCAGCAGGCTTGGTTGATAGACTCTGGGGCCTCAAGTCACTTGGTTGGTGAGGGCATGTTGTCCAGCGGCCATGTGCAGATCCTGGAGGAGCACGTTGTGAGTGTTCAGTGCAGTCTTGCGTCAGGTGAGCCGATCACTTTGCGTAGGAAAGTTGATTTAAAGGTTTTGTTCGTGACAGTCGAGGGAAGCCTAGTGAGTGCACGCCTCTCCGCTCTTGTTGCTGCTGATTGCTCGCATGCCATCTTGTCCACAGGCCAAATGGCCCAACGTGGGTGGCAGGTTGCTATAAATGCTGACGGTGTCAACGTGAATCTAGATACTAGTGACGGCAAGCATGTTGTGCTAGGGACTTGCATCTACGGTAACGTCGGTTGGTGCTACTCGGTGCCCTGTGAGCCTCGACATGGACGTGGACTGGGGAGGAGCTTCCAACGACGAGCTGGAGGCGACCCCGGACCCGGAGGAGCCAGTGGAGAGCCAGGCGGGCGTGACCCCGCAGGGCCTGGCACAGAGCCAGGCGGGCGTGACCCCGCAGGGCCCAGCACAGACTCTGCTGAGCAGTTTCGCCGGGCAGCTGACGGAGATCGTGAACAGGACCTGGAGTGTTGTGACCTCGCGGTCGACGAGCAGCGATTCAGATTCCCCACAGAAGCCGTCAGAGAGCCCAGCGGACCACAGGGAGACGCCACAGCCGACGGATCAGAAGCAGACGCCGCAGCCGGAGACCGAGACCCCCTGGGTAGCGAAGGAGACGGCCGATGTGGCCGAGGAGATCGAAGGGCCCACCGAGTCCCTCACTGCGGAAAAGCCACCAGAGGTCCGAGTCCCCAAGAGCAAGCCGCGTCCGAAGCCACCCGTGCTGCCGTATCCGACAAGGTCAGTGACGGGAGCGGGCCAGGAGGTGTCCCAGATGGGAGCCACGAGCTCAAGGGAGCCAGCCGAGATGAAGGAGACCGAGGGTTGGGGCCTTCACGGTCTTCCTCTGCCACGGCCCCCACCAAGAGTGATCCTCCGCGAGCGCCTCGTGAACTTGAATGTGCCGCCGGAGGTGCAGGCGGAGATGAGTCAGGGCAGCCGCCCAGGCCCGAGGTTGCCGACACCGCCGCGGGTTCCGAAGCGGAGATCGAGGTCGCCGTTGGGGAGAAGCCGTCACCGTTGAGTGTAGGTTCCCGGGACGTTTTGGATGATGGAAAAAGTGGGCCGAGCGATTGCTGGTGGGTTGCCACCGACAAGGAAGCGCTAGGTAACTTCAGCATGTTCGAGCATGAGTTGCGGTCGCATTTGCCTTTTAGCAGTTCCTGTGAAGTTTGCTTGAGAGCGCGAGGGTTGAAGCCAGCCTTACGGAGGAGCCAGGTGCACGAGCACGAGATTCAACTCGACCAGTTTTGGCATGGCTCTTTGCGTTTTCTCATCATGGTTCACTCTAGGTCTTTTGCCATTGGCTGTGTGAGCGGTGATCTGACCAGAGAGTTGATTGTTGCAGGCATGTCACAGTGGATGATGCATTTTGGGCTTGCCAATAAAAGTTGCTTGTTCACCTGCGATGCTGAAGGGTATATGAGAGTTTTGTGGCAAACCATGTTGGAGAGTTTTCCTGTGTACCAAGGAACCATTGAACAGTTTGCCGCAGGTCGTCATGCGCCAGTTGCAGAGCGTGCTGTGAGGGCTTTGCGAGAGACCGTCAGTGGTGTTTTGATTCAGATGCAGGACAAAGGCGTGGGGGTATGTGTGCTTGCTCACGAGTGTTTGGTAATGTTTTGCATGCTTGCTGCACTCATGACATTCCATGTGCATTGCAGCAAGCAGGCTCGCAGCTGCCAGTTCGCCTGCATAGCGGGCAGAAACTTTTGTAGGCTAACGGGCCTCGCCGTGTAAGCCCTCTAGAACAGTTCTGGAGGCTCCCAATCTTTGTGGATTTAGCTCCACTTCATTCCTCTCCCGCTCGCGATAGGGGGAGGAGTGCATGGTTTCAGGCCGTTTGGCATTTGCGATTTTACAGTGCATTTGGTATTTCATTTGCATTATGGATCAGTCAGTGCCTGTGAGTGACTCGTCAGTGCCTGAGACTGATGCATCTGCTTCACTTGGAACAGACATTGCGATTTCTGATCAGACTCGTTGCATTGTCAAGCGCATCTCAGCAGGAATGTTCGCCTACCTTGGAGGCCTCGCCTTCTGCCGTTGTTCTTGATGCAGTGGTTGCTTCTTCTCAGGGTGACCTGGAGGTGGATCCATTGCACCCCGCATTGGCTTTATCTGCACAGGAAGCTGATCATGAGGCTCCATTACTCCCTGAGGTGGTCGTCGCTGGACTTGATGATCTGCAGGGGCCACAGCTGGACCCTGAAGGTTTTTCATTTGGGTCACGACCCCCTTCACCAATATATGACCCTGATTTTGAGCTGGTAGATCCATTGGAAGCTTCTTTGGCACAGACTGTGGCAGCCTCTGCGGTCCATTCGGGTTCCTTTTCTTGGGATGTGATTTCGCCAGTGCCTGAGAAGACTCCTGCATTCTGCTCTACGGTATCATCTCGCTTCTCCCCACTTCGTGTGGGCCGTCTCTCTTTTGAGGAGACTGACAGGGAGGTGGAGCCACCGTTGCTGCCGGCAGTCTCGCAACAGGAGCATTCCGTTTCTCAGATGGAGGCTGCTTTGCATCCCAAGCCGGCTCCCTTAGCTCGCCCAGCCACACTCAGTGCTGGAAGTGGTCGAGCTACAATCTTGCATCCCATGGGTGCCAGGTCCACGGAACACGCAAAATCGAGGCCGATTTTTCCGCTTAGGGCCTCCATCGGGGTGCCCAAGACTGAGCCCAAGCCTCGTCCGGTTCCCTCCACTCGAGGGGCGTATGCTCGGTACCCATCTGATCATTTGCATTCTGCTTCTCAGGTGTCGGGGGCTCTCTCGAAGAGTTCGCCTCCATCTCAGGCTACAGGGTCCTCACCCCCTTCTGGTGGGGCCCCAGATCTGCCGCTTGGACCATTGCCGACCAAAGGTCCTGGTGCTAAGAGAGGCATTGATCTCCTTCATTCAGGCACCACCAACAAGGTGGTCAAGCAGTCCGAGGTGCATTCCACTCAGTGGTCACGGGCCCTTCAGTTGTGGTCGGAACTCTGCGAGTTTGCATTGTCATGTTCTGCATTGCTTTGTGAAATTTTCCACAGCTCTAACAAGCATTCCCTTTTGGAGCAATTGCTCCGCCGAGTGTCGGACACGACGGCGCTGCGATACATTGCAATTCTGTGGCAGCTGTTGCATACGATTCGAGACCTGGGTTTTGACATTACATCACTGTCTCAGGTTCAGCTTATTGACTCAATTCATACATTACAGAGATCTCGCAGCCATCACTCGTCGGTACATTCCATCAATGTGCTCAAGGCGGTACGATGGTTCTCTTCCACAGTGCAACCCTCGGGCTTTCCTGCCTTATACGATGGCTTGTTTCATGCCAGGTCATGGCAATCGCAAGGTGCCTCTAAAGAGGCTTTACCTCTTTCATTATCCTTCGTACTGTGGCTGGAGACCCAAATCGTGTGCGGCCACTTTACATTGGAAGAGACTGCTTTCGCGGGATCAGTGCTAGTTTGCATTTGGTGCAGCTTGCGGTTTGGCGACTCTCAACACATTCAGTTGTCGGATCTGTACATTGACTTCGATAGCTTTAGAGGTGCATCTTACCGAACGAAAACACAGAAATTTATGGCTTTCGGCTGCCTTTTCTCAGGACTTTTGCGGCTGCCACGCACACAATGCTGGCTTTTGCATTGGCTTGTGGCTCTTGAGAAACTTATGGATTTACATTCAGATCCTTCGGACATACCGGACTACATTTTCTTCCTGCTGGACAAGGAGTGCATTAGACCTTTGACTTACGCAGAGTGCCTTTCGAGGCTCAGACGATTGCTGGTCATGTGGAACCAGCTGCCATCGGGTCAAGAACTCCAATATACATTGCATTCCATGAAAGTTACATTGCTTCCTTTCTTCAGGCAACTGAACATGTCGCTTGAATCAAGGCACCTTCAGGGCCACCACAAGCATTCTGCTTCTTGTGCTTTATATGGGCGAGACGACGTCTCTCCATTACTTCTGGCTCAGGACAGTTTCATTGAGAAAGTTAGAGGAGGCTGGCGATCACGAACTCCATTAATGCGTGGGGTCACCTTTATGCCTCTTGAGCCGGCATTG